CTTTGCACTTCTTCGCTCGTCTACGCTGCCTGCCCTGTTAGCCCTTTTGACCGCGAGCACCTCTTCACGCGACCATCACATAAACGCTGAATCTCTCTTTCCCGCCGAAACAAGCTGCCCAACATGGTGAGTAGCGCCTGGCTCTCAACATTTGCAAATTTTTCCTCTTCCCCCCCGGCTTGCATGGTGGAAGCGTAGTTCGCAGCCATCCGATTTGCGTCATTCCGCTGACCCTGCGTCCCCACGCTCCGCCCTCTCCCCGCTACCTCACCGCAGTCTGACGATGAGGCTCACAACCAGAACTTCGAGACCGCCCACGCCGGCGCGTCTCTGACCTTCCCTATGCAGTGCTCTGCTCTGCGTAAGAATGGTCACGTCGTCATCAAGGGACGTCCTTGCAAGGTGAGTGTCACCCACTCTCTGCTTGCGCGGGGCTAGCTCGGGTCGTCGTCTACCCTCTGCTTCGTGCCCTCTCTCAGCGCAGTAGTGCTGGCGCACCTTCCAGGGAGAGAGCGCTTCTGGACTTGGCGATCGCGGGAGCCTTTGCACTTGAACATTGGCATTGCGCGTTTCAGGGAAGAGAAGGGGTTCTGAGGCACGACGAGGACCATGCGATTCCAAACAGCTCGCGCTCCTCCTCTCTTGCGTATGCTAGTGCTTGCGTTGTTTCATGCACGATCAGCGAATGCGACTGAGCCTCAACCGCTGAACCTTCCGAACGAGCCCTCGAAATGCACCCTTTGGGACATGCTGAACCTTGGCTCTTCACCCTGTCATGCAGATCATTGACATGTCTACTTCCAAGACCGGAAAGCACGGTCACGCCAAGGTCCACCTTGTCGCCACGGACATCTTCACTGGCCGCAAGTACGAAGACATTTCGCCCTCGACCCACAACATGGACGTCCCTAACGTTGGTCGTCAGGAATACACTCTGGTGAACATTGGTGAGTGACGCGGTGAACCAATGGGTAGTTGGCTGAAAAGGCTCGCAACGGGAAATGTTCAGGCGCGGGGTGCTGCCCGAGCGGCACGATATGCGGCGCTGCGTGCTCCGCTCAGAAGACTGAATACTTTGTTTGCGTGACATGCAGACGATGGCTTCCTCAACCTCATGACTGGTGACGGAGGCTCCAAGGATGACGTCAAGGTTCCCGAGGGTGCCATCGGAGACGAGATTACTGCCGGGTTCGAGGAAGGCAAGGACCTGGCCGTGACCATCGTCAGCGCTATGGGCGAGGAACAGGCCGTCTCTTACAAGGTCACCACCTAAATATGCGCACGACTGCCTCTCCAACCCAACATCTCCCCACACAAGACTCCTCTTCAACCCTGCAAGTCAAAGAAGCAATAGTAATTTCGATGCTGGTTGTCCCAAACGAATTCCCCGCTCGGCTAGATGCTATTGTTTTCCCTGGATCACATGCACTTGTCGACGAGCCAAATGGGCTAGCCATGCCCCACCCCTCATTGCGCCGGACCACTGAAGCGCGCAGCGAGCATTCACGAGTGCATGGCGAGGCACTTGTACAAAAGCAAGAAGCAAATCACTTTCTCCCGCCCCGCTCCTCCAAAACAACTGATCTAGCAATGCATTTTTGCTGGCTCAGCCACACCGCGAATCGCTGCATTCCCATCCCTGAGCTTACCTTTGTAATTTCGTTTTGAGTCTCGCCTGATTGACCTTTGAGCATGCCGCGTGTCACGTGCGCTTCCCGCTTGCGAAGAAGTCTTGGGCCTTAGTGCATAGATGAAGCTTGCTTGAATGTGGGACATCAGGCAATCTGAAAGGGATTGATTTGCTGATCTCTTCTTCTCTTCTACACCGGAAACCCACATGTCCGGCTACCAGTCAACTTCGATCCTGTGCCTGACCGCGTACTTCAAGGCTGTGTCGGCGGCCAAAAAGTCCTGCGATTACGCAAGATGTGAAACGCTCGAGCATTTGATTGATCACGTTCAGCACACAAGGCAGAAAGCCGACCAAGCTCGAGCTTGGTGATCAGCCAAGCAAAGTGTCCGTGCAAAGTTTCATGATCTCTACTCGAACTGTTCATTCTCTTCATCGATTTGCGAGTAGATGTACAAAGAAGCAGAGGGGCAGCCGCGCGCGTCTCGCAAACCCGCCAAAACAACGACCCTTCCGCATTTTGCTGTCAGCAAGCTCTCCAATTTGTCAAGCTAAGCGTTGGCGGTAAGCGCTTCATACGACGAGATAGTTCTCGGCGCTGAGCACCGTCTGGCTCGAGAAGGCCACTTCGATGCCCGACTCTGCAGAGACGATCGAGTCCACCTACACAGAGCGGTCGGGATGGCGATGATTTAGGCTCGACTATTCATGAACTCGAAGCGCATGCGATCACTCACCTGTACTTCTGCCATCGTCTTCTGCGACACGAAGTCGACGCGCACGGGAAAGAAGATGCCAACATCTTCCGCGCCTTCAGTAACGCTGAATTCCAACTGACCGCTAGTCGCCACATCGCTCGAAACTTCGTCCAGTCTCCACTGCAACACCGTCTGCGTTCCATCGTCTACGACCTCGTGCGCTCCTTCCGCAGCCTCAATGCTGGAAGGTTGCACGCCGTCCGGCAGCGGAACACTCAGCACGACGTGAGACAATGCTAGTTGTGTTGCTTCCAGCTCGTACTCGATTGTGACGTCGCACGCACCACTTCCATCACCGGCAGGTGATGGCCAGCAGTTGATGCTGAGAGGGACGGCAGTCTCATCCTTGGTAGTCGCTCGCCAGCGCAACACACCTAGGTTCTGCCTGACTGGGAAAGGCTTGCTCACGTCGCGCAGCGCGATGATACGAGAGTCTGACCACGCCTTTTTGTCAACGTGCGGGTGCGTCTTGTATGAAAGGCCTTCCTCTGCCAACAACGCAGATGGTGACGCGGGCGCAATTTGCAACCTGAGTTTTGCTAGAGAAGGATCCGTGATGCGAAGCTCCAGATCTCCTTTGAGCTCCAGTGAGGAGAGTGAGCCATCCCGAGTGGCTTCCATCGACACTCGCTCCTTGACAACCAGGTGGACACTACTCAGAGGTCGTGAAGTCAGCCTTCGAACAGGTGATCAAGGGAGGACTCTGCATCACTTACCTCTCTTGTACCACTGGTGGGAGCAAGTCCAGCGGATCGCTGGCTGCTGCGACAGCGCGTGTCGGTGCAGCAGCGGCGCTGGCGGCAGCTGGAAGCAAGGGCTGTGCGCTTTCCACATCTCGGCCAGCCTCGGACGCATCCACGCCGATAGCACCAAGGAGATCTGGCTTCTTCTTTCCGAGCTGCATGCCTTTTGACTTGAATGGCTTGGCTGAAGGTACCGACGGACTGAGCAGAAGTGGTCAAAGTAGTCAGCGAGGTCCAGTAAAGCGTTGTTCATAGGATCTCGGCATGTCTCACGTTGCGCCAGTGTCCCGCACTATCGGCGCGGTCTGGACTGGAGCAGCATCGAAGCGCCCAGATACGCCTTGATAGCCGCCAATGTTTCCTCCAAAACCACCTGACCCTCCACGCCTCGTAGCCTCCCTCCGTTGAAGTTCCAGCTGCTTTGCCCTGCGTTTCAGCTCTTCCTTCGCTTCCATTTCTTTGTTCTGTGAGGTTGATCAAGTGATCAGCCACTCTACATTCACATTTGCGCTTTTGGCCAGGTGCCAGCTGAGCAGCGCGCCCTGCCCGCCCAATCTGTGCGACTCACTCTCTCAATTATTTCTTGGATCTTTTCTTCATGGGATTCCATCTCCATGATCGACCTGATCTGAGCCAAGCTCGCATTCTCGCGGTAGCCCAGGCTGACGATCTCATCAAATGCCCCGAGCAGCTCGAATGAATTACGGAGGATATCGCGCTCGTCGTGCCCTCTGCATATGTCTGCCACAGTCCTTGCAAAGAGATGAAGAGAGTCAATGTCTTGAAGAATGTTGGAGGATTTGGTGGTAATAAGGATCATGTAGAGGTCTTCGAGCGGTTGATAGACGTAGCGCACCGCATCTGTCTCGACGGATGTATGCTGCGCACCAGCTGAGATCAGCTTGGGAAAGCTGGCCAATAGCGCTTCCACTCGTGAACGAGGCATTTCGCAGAATTGACGCGATAGAACAGCTGAAAGGCGGATCAATGCACAAGCTCGAGGGAATCAGCAATGCCCTCGATGTCTCCGTTGGAGCAGTCGCGTCTACTGTGACTTACGCTTGCCGCCCCGCGTCGTGATCGAAGCTGCGAGGACCACCTGGGAAGCAAAGTTAAGAGGGATTCATGAGCTCGGCTCGGCAAACGGTTTGATACCTGTGCACGCACCATGATGCCGCTCTAATTGGGTCCACGCCAGGTTTTGATTCTACGAGCTCGTGTGTGAGCTGCAAACAAAGACCTCAAAGCAATTCCGTTTGGAAGCCCCTAGTACGCTCGACAGCTGTGCTACACCGGCTGCTGGAAAGCTTGTGCAGTCGGATGTGGGGATTGCCGTGATGCAAGGGCAAATGAGGAATGGATGGAAGGTCTGGACAGCCAGAGTCGTGCTTGTTGTGACGTTTGCATAGTCACCTGCTGGATGGACCAACCTGCGCGAACCAGAATAAGGTGTGTGCGTGCTGGCTGTGGGCGGGCTCAGTCGCGCGTACAATTAACCAGCAGCGCACTTGCTGCCGTGGCCGAGGTCACTAGAGCTGCTGCCGCGCACGGGCTCCAGCACGTGGAATGGTGAATACATGTACGTGTGCACAAGAAGGAACGCATGCCCCGCCTTGTGCGTCCCACTCAATGCCGCCTTGAATAACTACATCCTCCCTTCACTTCTCGATCCCCGGGCGATGTCCATTCGCATTCGTGATTCGTGATTGAGACATGTACGATTCTGGAAGTGTGATTTGATCACATCGCTCCCTTCCCTCGTCGTAGATTTCGCCCATCACTACAACATCGCAGAGACGCTGGGCCAGAGCGAATTCTCATCAGCCACTGGTCTTGACCCGGCATACAAACGACGGTCATCGCTCTGCCAGTAATTGTCCGCACCAATCACTGCGCATACACTCAAGCAAAGGATCGCCATCGATACTGCGTCTCTTCAAGCCATCGCATCCTCCCTCGCAAGTTTGCAGACTGCATCTGCACCAGGCGTTTTGAAGAGGAATGGCAGATCGAGGTGTAAGTGCACATAAACTCACAAGCCATCCGCGCCCTTCTTTAGCTCGCTCACAACGCACCACTCAACAGGGATCGCGTGTAGGAGGCCGAGGTGGCGGTAGCAGAGGCGGTCGGGCGGGAGGCGGCGCTGGAAGAGGCGGTGGACGAGGAGGTGCATCAGGATCGGGCGCTGCGGGTGCCTCAGCAGTCTCTGGACCTGAAAGACCGAAGAGAGAGGCTATCCTGGACTTGGCAAAATACGTCGATAAGAGGATCAGGGTCAAGTTTACGGGAGGTCGTACTGGTGAGCAGACGTACAGTCGACACGACTCTTGAAGATGGAGAGACAGGAAAACTGAAGGCTGTACACCATCCTTGATGTTTTCCTTTGATCCAGTCATTGGCGTCTTGAAGGGATACGATCAGCTTTTGAATTTGGTGATGGACGAAGTGGAGGAGTACATCATTGGTGAGGCAGTACGCCGTTACAATGTCGATTCGTGTGTCACTCGCGCTCACAGACACGTTCTCCTGGCTGCCATACACAGACCCCGAGAGCGGGGAAGCGACGGAACAGACTCGAGCGCTGGGCTTAGCGGTGCTGAGAGGAACAGCTTTGATAGTCATCAACCCTGCAGATGGCTTCGAACAGATCTCCAAGTGAGCGAAAGGAACTATAGGCGTCTCGTGACATTCACAGTGCAGCGTGCACGCTCGTCGCAAGTCATCCGGAGCTGACTCAAATAATCCTTTTCGTCTGATGCGCGCAGCCCTTTCGCGGCGCCAGAGTAGGCGTGCACCAGAAGCAGACGGGCCGCAAGGCCAGCAGCGCCTTCTTTCATTCCCAGAACAAGGCAAAGCATGATGTGATTCGTGGGCTAGACATGGCAACACAATCTACGACGCAGCATGTAATCCCGCAAGTACAAGTGCGTGAAGCGCGACGATTGCATTGAAGCGCGCAGACGCGCCAAGTCGACTAGTGCAATTCCCCTCGAGCCTGTGCCTTGGCTACTTTGCCGAGCAGTTTGACCTGTCCCGCCACATTCCGGAGAGTATCGCGCACGAGGCCATTGCCCTCGACAAAGCCGTATTCGGTGTAGCGAAGTCCATGCTTTTCGCAAAAGGGGCGTACGAATCTGTCGCGCACCTCTCTGAGGTTGTGCCTAGGGATGCGGGGAAAGAGGTGGTGAGAGACTTGCATGTGCAAGCCTCCATGCAGGAAGTCGAGCTGCGAAGGACAACTGACATCCATGGTAGTGCGGACTTGTCTAGATGGGAAGGACTCGTACAGACCCAGGTCATCGCTGGACTGAGCAAAGTGAGAGAGGACAATTTGAACATGCAACGGAGAGGTGGCGATGTGTGAGATGAGCAAATACCCAATTCTCGTCTTCCAGTCTGGACAACCATGTAGCAGGGCGACAAACCATGCCCAGAAGAATCCAACTCCAGACACTTCAGCCCACCACCAAATGTCGTTGAAGCGAGCCGTCTTGGCTAGGAAGCCGTAGGAGTTGGCGTAGAGATTGAAGCGACCCAAGGACATGACAATGTAGTACAGCGCGTGTTGATGTCGCAAAAAGAAGCGCGAGGGCGCGTCGAAGAGGAGGACGCGGCGGTAGTAGCTGCTCCAAAGGCCATACGGCGCCTTGACTTCTTCGCTGCGGGCCTGCTCTGCTTCCGCGATTCCCGAGACATCCTTGCTAGAGGGAGACTTTTCGACGAGAAAGTTTGGCGATATCGCAAAGAATGGCATGTGTTGGATGTCTGGGTCATGCTCAGGATGATTGGTCACAAGATGGTGTACATCGTGGTTGTCGCACCACCAACCGATGCTCAGCCCTCCGATGGGCGAAGCGATGAGAATGCCGATCGCACGATCGATTGCGTGGACTCCCGTGATACCAGTGTGTCCTGCGTCGTGTGCCGAAAATGTGACTTGGTGCCAAAACAGTCCCAATAGAAGCGAGGATAGCAAGAAATACCCTTGCGCGTAGCAGTATGCAAAAGATGCGAACAGCAGCATGTACCTTGCAAGCTCTCGAGCATAGCCGATTGGGCGAAGGGTGTAGAGCCCCGCCACTTTGACCTGCTCGTGCATCTCTCGATAGGCCATGCTAATCGCATGCTCTCCTGCCGGGTCGATGCCGTCTGGTGGAGCGGGAGGCTCTAGCAACGTCACAGGGAGAGGGAAACCCTGTGGTCGACTGGCCTGCGCATTCGCTCGCTCTGATGAGGTGGTCGCTATGCCAGCAGCGTTGGCTTCGGAGAGCAGATCTTCCACTTCGTACTCCTCCGATTGACCATCGAGACCTCCCTGGGCCTGTTGCCAAGCTGTCCACTGCGCATCAGGGTGATCCAGCTTGCCGGACCTATATCCAAGCTGCACTGGCGGAGTTAGTGGCTTGTAGCCCACGTCCTTGGGAACGTCTCGAGGATCCAATCTGGCGATGACAAAGTTCTTCATGCGACGGAGCGTCCCATCGCTGTGATACGCCTCTATCTCGTCCTGCGCATCTCTGCCAACGAAGTGCAGGATGGCCAGCTCTCCACCAGGATGCCTGGACAACCATGCATCGAGCTTGTATACCCTGTCCGCGTGAAGGACCAATGTTTCGCCTGCCGCAATGCGCTCCGCGAGACGAGAGCGTCTCATGATTGGCAATTTGCGCTCGCTTGACAATGACGCGGCATCAGCTGATGGCGCAGCAGCCCGCACGGCCTGATCCAGATGTTGACGTTGTGTATCATCTGTCAACAGCGCCGTGGGGCGCTGCGAGATTTGCTGACTGCCATCTGGCATGGCGCTCGATCGTGATGATCGATCGAAAAGGGGTGGGGTGCTTGCGAAGCACAACTCCTGCA